AATTTTTTAAACACGAAGGCGCGCTATAAAAGGAGCCTTAGGTCCCACTGGACCATTTGTCAATCAACCGTCGTGTGATGTAGAACTCTTAGAGTCAAGTCAGCTTGAGCTACAGCTACTCCAAAGCAGTGAACAGCGGGCGCATTCCTCAAAATTGTTTTATGTCTTCATCACAATACAAGAATTTTTGAGATTTGTATTTCCTTTCTCCAATGAAAACTGTCTTTATTTGTGGCGGTAAATTTGAGATCAAAGTAGGTAGTTCGCACGTTACCTCATGCAACCTTGCTGGTGGAAGTAAACAATAGATATCTCATTAGCTCCTTTTGTTCGTCTACCAGCATTTAAATTTCACCCGCACACATCAACGGTGAGTGACAAATGAGCCTAGGTCTTCCTTATAAAGCGCGCCTTCGTGTTTAAGGCACACTTACCGTTTTCTGATCTGATGACAAGTGTTTAAACAAAGAGTCAAAATCATCCTTCAAATGTTCCTTGGTAACTGTTTTGAGCAAACTGTAAGATAATATAATGAGCATAAAACAACATTATTACGAACATCCAAACAGCAACAGGAATGTAATTGACATTGAAATAGGACCATACCTGTGTAACCAAGCCCTATCATTATCATCAACCAGACGGTCATAGAAGACACGGTACACCTCATGGACCCACAGTCTGAAACAGACAATATATCAGAAACATCATCTTTCTTTTTTCGTCCACATATTTAGTTAAAAAGTAACATATTTTGTCTATACATCTCAGAGAAATAACACTAGAAACTTGTCCGCTGTTCAGTGATTCTTTAATATCTGATTAACAAGAAGGCCTCAAGCACTTTCAACACGTACACTTCGCCTTGTCAGGTGTCAATCAAGCAGCAGAGAAAGCGTAATTATTAGGACGAAAAACAGCTAGAGGAGAAAAAACTAAGCAGTTTTCTTATTTTGACGTATCGCAATAAGTGAAAAGAAACAATATCCTGAGAAGATTGACCTGAGCCTGACCTGAAATTTTAAAAATACTCCACCTTGTCTAAAATAAAATCGGCAATTATTTCAGTGTCACAGAGGCGGAAGAAATCTACATACAAGGATCACATTTTTTATTATGCTTGTAAAGAGCAAATAAATACAGGTGATTTTTACGGAATCAATGTGAAAGGATCATTCCAAAACGGTGTTGTGTCTCACATATTCAGAAAAGGCGTTGTAAAGTCTCTTTCATTTAGAGAACAGTTGACGCTAATTAGTAACGATTCTAAAACTGAGCATTATCCCTTGTCCTTAGTCTACACTAACTCTAAAAGCGATGCAAAACTGAACACTACTTAAGTTACCCTTGCATGCCAAAATATGAGTAATGATCATTCAGTGGCAACAGCTTTATAGCCCTGTTGGGGTTTTAAGGCAATGGCGTGCCTGGTTGTCTTGTGTGAAAGACCTGAAAATACAAGCCATGCTTCTAGGGAAAAATCTTAACGACTTGCACTGACCCCTGCACAAATTACCGAACCTGAGCAACAAATATGAATAAAATCTTATGAATTCGTATTTATACCTGCTCAGAGTCTTCTTATCAGCTAGGGCATCTTTTTTGATAAGGAGAACCCCACGGATGACTCTGGAGAAGTCTCTTAAGTTGAATGTGTAGTGGGACTTGGCCGGAGTTGGCAAAAGATTCACCATGGCTTGTTTGTACACCTGTAATTCAAAGAAACAAATGGCACCATCTTAAAAGCCTGGAAATCAGAACCCAAGAGTTTAGAAACTGTTTGGATATTTAATGCAAACACTTCAGAAATTCTGTTTTGGACAAAACCAACAGTCAAAAAAAAGAAAATAATTAAAAATACGAAAATTAGAATGGTCCAAAACAGACGAGAAGAAATGAGTTCAGAAACGTACAAAAATACAGTAGGATATTTCCCTTGATAAGTAGGACTAAATTCAAGCGATCCTTCATCTTTTCCTTGGAATAGACAGAATCATAGCAATTACCAATGACTCACACCCTTCCACGATTTTTTTTCATCTTGTTAAGAACCATAGTTTTAACAGATATGAATGAGTTGTTTTCATGAAAACAATGAATCTTAGTCTGGAATTATGGCAAGTTGTTACAAGTAGGTGTCAAGTTAATTTTATTTTCACCTCCATTGTGGCACCAACTATCATAGTTCCCATAGCATAGACATCATTAGGAAATTCATTGTTCTATTAAAAAAAAGAAAAAGTGGTCACAGTTAAATACATTGAATGGTGGTCGTTTGCAATTAAAAACTAAATACCTTTTTTTGACTTGTTAATTCATCTTTACTATATTATCTATTTTCTCAATTAGAGGTATTCAGTTAAATCTGCAATTTGTATGACATGATTAAAGGAGAAGTATGTTCCACAAACCAAATAATTTTGTTGCCATTATTGAAAGGCACATACTCACTGTAAATTGAGTTTCCAAAAACGAACCTATCATTTTGAAAATTTCCATCAAGTGAGCCACACAGTTTTGACTGCTGCTTAACTACCTGGCCTCTAACAATTGACAACTAGCTCTTAATTCCTTTTTCTATCTCTTGGTGATCTGTTTGTACAGTTCAGGGCTACATTAAAGGCATAATTGACTTAAACATAGCTTTAGGTTTTAAATAAAGCAGCAACTGTTTGTGAAGTACAAGTTGAGATTACCACCTGTTGGGCATTAATGCAACCAGACTATTGACCTGTTTATCAAAATGGAGCTATCTATGATCTAATTTTAACAACAATTGGTGTGCGTTTTTCACTGAGGGAAAGGGATACAATTTTCAAAGCGAACATCTTGAATTTTCTGAGTCAACTCATTAAAGAGATTATAGAAAAATATCATGATAAGAAATAGTAAAAAGTGAAACAGGCATGAAAACCTTACCCTGAAATAAAAGTTAACAATAGTGGAGAAGATCCTCTGCATTGTGTCATCACCAAATGTTGCAACTGATACTACATTGAAGTGTCGCAAGAAGCGAGGAGTGACAGGGTTTCTACCACCACCAGGGGGACCCATTGCACACACAAACTGAAGGTCAATCAAGGTCACTTTAGATGTGTCCTTCCTGTCATACCAGTTGCCATGGTCCAAATACTGACGAAGAAGTTCTATTGGAGGCTGGGCACCATACTTTTCCAGTGCAGGCATATTCACATCATCAACAAAAATTATAAATCTGTAAAAGCAGTGAAAATGAAATTATTTGAGTATTAATGTGCCTCTAGTCCTACTAGGGTTGCTAAAACAAAATGAACCACACACATAAAAGGAAAAGACAATGATTTCAGCTAGATTCAAATTCAATCAAATATGGCGTTCGGACGCGGCTTCAAGCTCTCCGCAAATTTATGTGTGTTTCTCTGTATTTACATCACTTTGGAGTTCTTCAGGTTCTCAGATGTATATGAGAACACTTTGCTTAACGATAGAGAGACGTTTTTTGTTTCCCAGACGTATTGTAGGGCTGAAGTTGCTGGTGCTTCATTTCATCGAAACGAACCGACCCGGAGGCAAGAGTCTAATGGACGACTGAAGAGTGTTATGCTTTGTAAGCTTTTTCATCGTGCCTGTTTTGCTTTGACTCTTATTGCTCTTGCTGGTGACATTGAGATTAATCCCGGCTACCAGACATTTGCTGATATCAAGTCCACTAGAGGTCTCAAGATTGCTCACTTGAATATACGAAGTCTCGCAAACAAAACCGACTCTCTGCGTCTTGAGGGAATTAACAACAAAACTTTTGACGTGCTAACTCTGTCCGAGACTTGGCTGGATTCCTCAACAAGTGATGCTGAAATAAAACTCCCTGGATTTGTGTGCATAAGGTTAGATCGCACTGGCAATAAAGAGGGATATGGCGGAGTTGCTATGTATGTAAGAGAAGATTTGGCGTTTCGTTTGCGGAATGATATCAATACTGGTGGACAGGAATGTTTATGGATTGAGTTAATTCGAGATAAATGTAAGCCAACGTTATTATGCTGCGCTTATAGAGCACCAGATGCCGATCTCTGCACTTTTATTTCGTCTCTGCGAGATAGTATGCCTGCTGTTGATCTTGAAAAATCGGATGTGATCATTTTAGGAGATCTAAACGCAAACATGATGCCTAATTCAAAATTGCCCAAGAAAGACAAACAACTACTTCTCACCTTCTCGCGCGCTTTTGACTTCACACAGCTGATAAAAGAGCCTACTCGAATATCTGACACCTCACGGACCTTGATTGACCTGATTTTTGTCAATAATGAACATCGTATTGTAAAATCTGGTGTTGTTCCGTTTCCATTGAGCGACCATTACCTGGTGTTTTGCATTCTAAAGACTGGTGTGCACACAAAAGCACATCCAAGAATGTTTGAGTATCGCTCTTACAAGAATTTCGATGCGAATTCATTTAACGAAGATCTTAGGAATGTTCCTTGGCACGTCGTTGACAATGAAAACAATATCGATGACGCTTTATTAACTTGGAACAAACTGTTTTCAGAAGTTGCAGACGATCATGCACCTGTCAAACGACGACGTGTGAAGGGAACACCTATTCCTTGGATGAATAGCAAAATTAGCGAATCAATGAGAGATCGAGACTGGTATCATCGTAAAGCACGTAAATCGAACTCAGAAAAGCACTGGAACACTTACAGGAAACTGAGGAACAAAGTAAACCGCTTAGTAAAATCTGCTAAGTCGAAATATTACTGCGAAATGATCGAGGAAGCCAGAGGAGATCACGGCAAAATGTGGAAAGCTGTAAACGAAGCATGCAATCGTAATTCATCCTCAGA